CACTGTTGGGGATGGCCATAACACAAATCAGAAGGAATAGGCACTAATAGAGGTTTTTAGTATAGTTGACAATGGTGAGATGCCACACGTATAAAAATAAATACAATGCAAAATGGGAGCAATTCAAAAGAGGAACTCATTGTCTGTGAGAGTACCTTGGTGAAAGTCCGGACGGCGGGAACGTGCTCTTCTCCGCAGTGCCATTGTCCGTGGACTTGTGGAGAGGTTGGCTTCCTGCTCCCTGCACGCGCGCGAGTCTGTGTGCTGACTGTGTTTGGTTTCCCTATATGTAGGTCTGTTTGCGTGTACGTGAGTGTGACAGTACATGAGTAGTTGCTACGCTCACTAGACGGTACAGACAATCGATGTCCGATGAGTTAGCTTAATGTGACGTGTTTGCGAGTATAAAAAGGACAAGTCTCGTGATCCAGTGAGCGATTGTGAGCTGAACAGTCAAGTATATGGGTGAGGGGGTAGCTACAAGCCCAGTGATTAAGGCGTTAGCTTACGGACTGAAAGGTCCGTGGTTCGATCTAACCCTCAGCGTCTCGACTGCCCCCATGTAGGCTCTGGCAACCCGGCGGTATCCCAGCCCTCGTGCATCTTTTCGTTGGTATAGGACCTAGACAGCTGGACGTTTTTTTAACGTCTCTTGGTAGCCCTTTGTGATGGTAGCCCAATATCTCAGCTATGCCATATCTCACCAGCCTAAACGGGACGCACAGACTTTGAACAGTAAAAGCTAGATTACAACTGGTATGTCAGTGTACAATATATTGTACTGATGTGGCATGCCGCTTACACTGGTCATCCTGAATGTTCTCCAATACATGAAATGGACGGTTCCACATGTCTAGGCTAAATTCAACACCCACCTTACTCATAGGGAAGTATAGTTTAAAATTGACAGAGGAAGCCTTAAAGGATAGCCGCATGAAGGAAAAACCAGGAAGAACCGGATTATGGTTCTCCACTTTACTGCTGATATGGTCTGACGATAGCTATTTTAATGCTATTTTATTCAGAAACCTGGAGCTCACCGAAAGTCAGTATTGAATGAAACTACCAGTTTGATGTTTATCAACGTTCCTTCGAGGATACTGTTTTTGCAAACATTGATTTTTTTATTGATTACAGCGATTTATTTCGTCGGCTTCAGCATAAGCAAGCCCGTGGACTTCATCCAGGAGGTCGGTCGGCAAGCATTCAGGATCGCTGGAAAGACATCGATGCGAAACTCAGGTGAGATCTACGTCCTGTCCTCAGCACCAACGCCAATTCTGCCACCGCGCCCCATCTTTGATGTACAGGAAAGCAGTACACTGGAAAATTTTTACCCATAGTCGCAAAACCGGGTCGGAAAAAACATCCGCCAGAAATAAAATCGTGAAATATAGTTGCCGATTTAGTCTGTTTCTGTAAAAGTTGCTACGAAAGGTTATTTTCCTGTCAAACCTAGCAGTCCAATCAATTTTTTGGTTCCGGCTAAAAAAAGGATTAAGAATCACTCGGTCGTTAGTTATAACTGGTTTCTCAGATTACTGGTGAAAGGAAGAAGGTCTTCGACGCGGAGTTGTTTACAGCAACTGAGCAGTTACAGACTATTGGACAGGGAGGCAAAACTCTCATATACATCTTGTTTGCAAAAACTAAATATCCATCCTCTCTTTGAACACGCCTTCCTGAACTCTCCTGGATATTCATTGACTACTACTCAAATGCAAGCAAATGCTACAAAGCGATTCCATAAATTCCATAATGGATCCCACTTTTCAAGAGAGGCGAAGCGGATTTACGAGTGCACATACTACTCGCATGTCTCCCACATCAGTAGTATCCACCGTTACGCTGGTGACCGTAACTAAGATATGTCCTCTGTACTTGTAGCCATTTAGTCAGTGTTTAGAGTGACGATTCCTCTTTTATAAGGCAGTTACAACAGTCGAATCCAGTCTCATTTTTAGCGACGAATAACCATACTGTCGGGGTAGAGAGAAAGACTACGGGGAATATTGTTGGATAAAGAAATCAACATAATTCCAAATAGTTTTGAGTTGGACCCCCAGGGAGTTACGACGTGTGACACATAACATGTTTGTCTGTGTATTTGCGTTTGCATTCGATGAACTGTCTGTAGACTGGCCGTATAAACACTTACTAGCCATTTGTCTTTAGAGGGTCTTGATTTTGCCATGTTTTATCCGTTTCCTGTTTCATCGACGCAGAGCTACTGTTTCTAATAGTAACTGGAATACGTCGATCGGCTACACAGGCCCTAATGTCAGTCATATTCACCTTTTGTGGCAGTGGGGGATCAGCATCTTAAGAGTTTATCCAGCAATCTGAACTGAACCATCACTTGTTGGTATCCAGGCCTCACTGATATTTGTGACACCAGTTTTTAGGCTTCCAGTGTGGTATATGAATGCTCAACAATGAACAACCGTATATAGGTGAATGATGTATACATCAGGTGAGAAGGGAGGAGTATGTTAGGCAGGAATCCACGCGGATCCCGCTATACCGCACTTCTTCAGGCGCTGCTACGTCCGATAACCCTAGCCCGCACGAGACTGGCCAAGAATTCGGTACGCTTGCCGGTCCGGTATCAAGACGAGATCTGATTGGTCGAGAATTTGGACCCAGCAGCCAATCATGACCCAGTATTGGCCAAATACCGGTTGCCCATGTCGCATCCAGAACGCATCAGAAATTCCAGAAAGTAATAATCGCCTACGCTATATATACGACGCGCTGTACAACTGTTCTTGACTTCGTTTTGCGCATTAATAGACCTTGCGCACCTTTGGTGGTTGTTTTGACGTAAATCCCACCTTGTGAGGCTCAGACCGAAAACTCAGCTGAGGAAAATACAGTTACTACAGAGTAGCAACAGGAAGGGGCATGTTAAGCCTGAAGTTGTCCAATGCAATGTGAGGGGACCTAAACGAGTAACCAGTGTGCTTCTTGCTTTAAGTTTTTGAGCCCTTCTCACCGGACCGTTCAACAGTTGAAAATCCATCGATGCATTGTCCGATGCCTCACAAGTCGTGTTACAGAGAATTGACGCATCATTCACGGTTGTTCACTATGACTGTCGAGTAAATGGTACTTCATGGAATGGAGCGAAACGATGGGCTTATACAAAGATGGAAAGTCCTGACGAAAGATGATTGGAAGCTTTCGTTGTGAGTGGTCTATGGAAGAGTAGAATTGTCAATGGGATTACGCATTTATTGAATTCCCCCCGGTTCAACGAATGCTCTGTGACTGTTGTGAACTGAAGGTGCAAGCCATTAGTGATCTGCACCGGAGAGTACGATAAATAAGCTGTCTGCTGATGCAGAATAGTTAGGAGCTAAATTTTATTCAGCGATCCTCTGCTGCGACTTTGTTTTGAGAAAGGACCAATCGGCTCCAAGGCTGTTCGCGATATCTGTTGCTAAGGTGCCGTTAAACTCAGTAGTAAGTTTCGAGTCACCGGCTTTGTTTCATTGCTTGACTTTCTAAACGGCGAGATGAATCGTTAGCTCAACGTTAGATTGAGAGCCAGGTTGTCTGATTACCCTCTGGCTGCAACCATTTACGTCACCTTCCACGTGACTGTACTTTCTGAGTTCTTTTTCGCACGGCATTGTCTCATACATTTTGTTCAACACTACTCCAGTGGCATAGTGAACCATAAGGCTTTTTAGCTCGTTTTTACTCTATATCACCAGCTTTTCCTGTATTTTTCAGGTCCCTTGAAGTGACGTGTAACACATTATTCCCTGTAACGACCTTGGGGGAGAATCCGGTGTCCAGTCAGTATCGCGGACTCTTCTATCCACAACTGAAGTGCATTCAGTCAGAAATATTCCAGGAAATCCGCAAGTGTGAAGGCAATGGGGAAAGTTTCACATTTTCAACCTGGTACCGCTTCACGGAACGATTTCTGAGTGATTTTGCGAGTGACATGGAACAAGTGCACTCTGACCTTCCCATGATTCCTCACATTTCGGCAACGGTTGTACGCGACTTGTGGTCAGTCAGCAACTGGGTGCTTTCCCGCGTTCCTGGCGCGGTTGAAGAAAGGAGAATAATAGCCAAGGTGAGGTGTCCATTAGGCAAGAACCTAATGACCAGAAGATCCGAGGTTAGAATTCACCATCTGACATCATCTAGGTTTAGTCAACATGACAGTACTCAGGGTTCCTTCGGGTGACATAGAAGATGAACTCTGGAAGAGTGTCGCGACTGAGCGATCACCATTTTTGTTAGTAGTGTGTCACAGGATGGATTAGGGTCGTTTCGCTTTGGTTGGATTTGCGTGGTTAAAATAAGGACAAAGGTGGTGAGACTACTTGGATTTCCCTAAACATCACTTCAGGGAATGTAACCACCCCGCTTGTGCTCTATGGGGAAAAACTTCTCGAAGTTTCACGAAAAGTGTGTGGTTATTCGCAACACAGACATCCTGAGGAGCTGTGGCAACCCGCATTATTTTGGTGCTACCGCAAAGCTCCTCGATAATGCTCGATCCAGGATCCGCTGTCCCTTTCTCCTGATACAAGGACTGGGCATGCGTGTGTGTTATATCTGCTGATTCGTCAATCTGAGGTATCTGCTGCTGACCCGCTCCAGCACCTAGTTGCCGAAAAAGACTCACAGAAGGGAACACAACCGCTATATTCCGAGCAAGCGAGTGCGAGAGCGTGAGTGCCTGCGAGTGCGAGAAGTACAACGGTCTCAAGCTATTTATTGGAAGGACACTGTCTGAACTTAGTCCAATGCTGACGCACACGGTCTGGCTTTGGTATGAGGCTGTGACGTGTTGCATATTGCGGGGGCGTTGTCTGACCTTGATCAACGCTGATTCACGCTGTCTTGGCGTGATACAAGGCTGTGATGCGCTGCACATCGAGGGGGTGTTGTCTGTTTGGTCAACATCTAGCGGAGCTGAGAGTCCCGGTAGATTTCGGGCATTCAGTAGTTGCTTTCAGGAAGCTGACCTTCCTGATAGTGTGCTTTTTATGTATGGACAAAACTAACGCGATTTACGTTCAACAGCACATTCCTAACAGGTGGCAAATTCTCAGCTAATTCCACATAGTGGGCCTACAAGAAGAGCATACGTCTGAAAGAGTGAACGCCGTATTTTGGGGCTGAAGTCACGAGTGCATTTATACAACCGTTTTATGCTAAGGATAGGATCGATAGTTTATATTTGATTCTGCTGCTAGTTACCCGAACTTTGGCTGTCTCATTACATTACATTATATACATATTTACTCACATTATATAGAATCTGTAGCAACGGTATTCTCCTCAGCTTAGTTCTCGGTCTGAGCCTCCCAAGCTAGCGTTCACGTCAAAACAACCACCAAAGGTGCACAAGGTCTATTAACGCCCAAAACGAAGTCAAGAACAGTTGTGCAGCGCTTCGTATATATAGCGTAGGCGGTTATAACTTTCTGGAATTTCTGACGCATTTAGGATGCGCTACTGGCACCCGACATTCGGCCCATTCTGGGTAATAATTAACTGTTGGGTCAAGACTTTCGACCAATCAGATCTCGTCTTGATGCCGGACCGGCAAGCGTCCCGACCTTTTGGCCAATCTTGCATGGGATGGGCTTCTCGGCCGTGACAGCACCTGACTGCGAGCGGTAAAGCGGGATCTGTGTGGAATTCCGCCTAACAATATCACTAGTTGAACGCAACTATCAAACGGTACAGGACGTTCCAGCAGTAATAGACTCAGCTAGTGGTTCTCAAACTTTCTTGCCCTCTATGGAGGGCACCATTGTGCTTTAAGTGAACTGTGAAACCACATAAGTCAAAGCGGTAGTCGGGCGATAGAGAATTCTATACACGAATACGCCTCAAAAACAGATGTGATCTGTTTCACAAGAGCACTGTATACAAAAACAGCCAACCTCGTTTTACACTCCATCATTTTGCGCAATTTAGTGAGCTTTTTTCTTCGGGTATGAAAGTATGACTATTGAGGTCTCTCCCATTCCTTCAGATCTTGCGGAACAAACAAATACTTGATTCAACAGTCAACGGCATTGTACTTGAGTCGGTCTATCTCATCGAGGTATTCACAAACCCACACGTAAAAGGAATTCTGAAAGGCGCCCGTTCAACCCCACACTCCGGTGGACTTCGTGCTTATAGAATCCCCGGATTATGGGTTACTGCCGGCAAAGTAGAGGAACAGCTGCCTACGATTTCAACAATATGGGTCAACCGTTGGCCTGCAATGAGGGAAAATTTCTGTGGTACTGTACAACTATGCACTGGGGAACAGTATGAACATCTTGACTCCAATCAAACTCAGTACTTCCTATCATATTGTCTGCCAGATTATGCAACTGAAAATTCTATCCTTCCCAACCTCAATTTTTGAGACTGTCTGATTTTCAAACTGTCATCCCTTCCTCACTTTTTCCCGTTGGGCTGGTGACCTTATTCTCCCCTCAATCGATTATTCTTGATTATTCCGTTCCACAGTCCAGGCGGAACACTTTTAACACGTACCTGGATCGCCAGATTGCTTCAAAGTGACTGAGAAATGTTCTCCAAAAAAGTACAAAGAAATTATCAACCTTTTTTGATATCAGAACACTCCAAAAACAACCGTCCTCAAGATAGTTGCCCCAAATGCCTAACTTCCGGATACCGGCCTCCTAACTACCCCCAAAAGCAACTAAAGTAAGATAGAATAAGCATATCACAAAATTGTTCTACACTGGCGACCGTCATGGTTCCTTGAGCTGTACGTTTTGAAAATCGAAAGATACAAGCTTTTGTACAGTTAGTTCTACAGTATCGAGATAAGAAATTAGTGAGTTTGAATATTTTTATGGAAAATAATCGGTCGATTGGCGTTAGTTCATCTGGTAGTGGTAGAAGGCCACGAAAACTCATGAGGGCTTTCAGATATGGGCATAATGCAACTGTGAGCGTATCGGTTGCTGCTTGGAAGTTAATTTATTCAGTTGCTCGAATAACATGACTTGTTTCGTTTGTGATTCTTTGCTTGCTTTAATCTGGTTTTCAAATCACCCTCATTAGAATTTCCACCCACAACAATGAAGTAGTCTAAAATCAATCTTGACTAGTAACAACACTCTCAAATAACATGTATGGTTTTCATAAAGAAAACTACTACTCGATTGTCGACGTATGTACAGCAAGTTATAAGTAGGCTGATACAAAATGGAAAGCTTTTTTCTCTTCGAGTCTCACGTCACCGGCAAGTGTCTGCCGGAATTCGCTCAAGAATTGTTCAGCTACTCCGAAAAAATTGGAAAGGAAGACAAACTTTGTCCACTGTTGTTATTCCTTTAGTCGAGTCTGAGGTTTTAGACTACCTTTGCCAGATTTCATCATCTTTCAAGGAACGATGCACCCAGCAGCGTGTGATGGATAAGGTATGTTCTTCAGATGAAGAAGGAAAGCCAGTAACCTGGTGAACAGTGCTAAATCCCGAATTTGAGAAGTTGATATGTATCAAATCATCCCGTATTCTACACTCTCAGAAACCCTCTAAGTAATGGCTATGAATAATAAAATGTAGAAATACCCTAATCCAAGTCATCTGGTTCATCGGAATAGTTTTGTTCGTCTTCTATCGGTTCCTTTCTTGAGGAACACAAGAGCAGGTTATGGTGTTAAAACACATGACTACTGCTAATGCAACTGACAGATCGATCGTCGAATTTTCTGATCATTCCTCATGTACGTTACTCTTGTTTGAACAGTCCTTCTCCTGTCCCAAGTGCACTTATTCTGGTGAGTCCACATGCATCTAATCAGGGATTGTCCAACGGTCTTCAAGCTTCAGTGTCTCTAACTGACTGGGAAGTCCTGACGGCTGGGTCAGTCAGTCGACACAACCATGATGGTGGGTAGGGGATCGAAGCCTTTGGCTAGTCAATCACGTTGCTCAATGGCGGGACGGTTCAAGAGTTAGAGCTCCAAGTTACTGATCGAAAGGTTCGTGGTTCGAACCCGACCTCTGCCTCTCGACTTCTCCTGTCTAGGCTCGGGCAACCTGGCAGTATCCCAGTCCTTGTGCTTCCTTCGGGTAGCATGGCAGCTAGACACCGGAAGGGTGTTGCAGCTGATCGATCTCTCTATCTCTCTATCACATTGCCCAGGTTCATACAGCATTACCTGTTCACACGTGATACTTCAGATGCGTCCAGCGTGCACTGGCGAGTAGTGGTAGTAGGCTCACCTAACATTTCAGATGTACAGAGTTCAAACCCCGGCATGGTCAAGATTATGCACTGCCGATGATTTCTAATTAGATCGAAATTCGAGTCTGGTGCTACCTCTAAGTGGTGTGAACTCACCAGAGGGATTCCGCCAGGAGAGGGTGAATGTGACTTCCACAAGTCCTGCGACCATCTACAACTAATTTCTTACCAATATTTAGTCTGAAGAAAGCCTATTCATGGAGTAAACGAAGTTTTCACTAATCGAGGTAGTTAATTTGAAGCGAAAAACAAGTCATACGGGTAGAGGAAAGCTAACAAACTTCTAAAGTTCGCAGCGCTTGGCAACTAATTCAAACTGAAACAGTATGCTTGCTTACAAATATCTGGACTCGTCGCTAGAAGAGCTTCTGAGCTCTAATGACAAAGCCTCACTGAGACTGCGTTTTATTTCACTTGTGGTGGGGAGCACGGTCAGCCAGTCCATTTCCAATTGAATGACGTAATCAACGAGGAAAAGTTGCGGAAACCTGAGCATTCGCATATCCTGAAAAGTCGCAGTTGAACGTATCTGTTTTAAACAATTCCAATTTCAATAAGAATTGGAGCCAGATAGTCTAGCAACAAAAATTAGACATTTATCGTAATAGAAGAACAAATAAAAAATTCCGAATTAAACATTCGAGGATTAAAAGTTCACGGCAAAGTAGAGTGAAGTTTAGGTTAACAAAATAATACTTCATTATTGAAAGAAAAAGGGAACGTCGTTCATCATACCTTTTCAACGCATGTACACGGTTCTCTAAATTTTCTCTTCGTTGATTCAATTAATCGGATCATACCAGTTTTATCGAGATAAGCGATATTCCATCCTTCTTGACTTGTATCATCTGGTACACGCAGCACATCGAGTAGCGTTGTTAACAGAGTATTACACTGGTTGTTCACTTTAAACTGGCCCGCAGGACAAGATGGCACCGTGTCCGACGAAGTAATCAGCTGTTTTGTCGGGACCTCCCACACAGCTCCAGACAGTCGCGGACACATTTGAATCCAGGCACGTACTCGATCGGTGAACACATTGGGCTCTAAGATGCTCGTATCACCGACAAAATCTGAGAAGGTAACCATTGGACCGAGCCAGCTGCAAACCGAACATTGTTCGATAAACATGCACAGTCTCTGACTCAAGTTTGGACGAGAAATCATCCTCGAGTTAGAAAATGCTTTTGTATAGTCCGGGCATGATTCCGTCACCAACACCATTCTTGAGCACGGTGGTGATCTATCTGATTGAATCAGCAAAGATTCCGTTTCAGGACTAATGTTTGACCAAGCAGGGAAACCGTTTTGACTGTTTGGTGGCGTTTGGGAAAATGGAAGAACTAATAGTGCCAGCCTGGAAGACTGGCCACCGGGAAAGAACGACCGGTTTGGACCATCAACTCTGTTACATCCATTTACATCTCCGGTGTGGTTGAGTAATTCCTCGAGTTTCGGCTTTCCGTAGACTTCGAAAAAGTGAAGTTCCGAATGCTCTTTTGAATAGTTCACGAAGCCCATCTTCCCATAGACACATTCCAGACCAAGTCCATCTTGGTAAACCAATTTGACGTACTGTCCATTGGAAGCAATAACTTTCTCACAAAGTGCGGACATCATCAAGCGACCCAGACCGTGTCTGCGAAATTCCGGTTCAATATAAAATTGATCCAAGTAGACTCCTCGACCACCGTGCATCGGAGAGATGTCTGAATGAAATATCATGAATCCGATTGGCTGTAGCTCTTGATCGCTACTGGCCGAGAACGTGAGTAGCAATCCTTCGATGAATCCATCCTTGAAAAGGTCACTCAAGTCCTGCGGCTCCAGATCACTTTTCTCACACTCTCCGACGTGGTGACGCAGAAGTCTCAAGGTGAATTCATGGACTTGCGAGAAGTCTTCCGCTCTAATAGGACGGACGCTGAACATAGGCCTTCTGAAAGGCCAGGGAATTCAGGACTAAAGACGTCTTTATTACGGTTAGGTTGGTGTTTTCCGACGACGCGAAAAGAAGGGGTAGACAAGAAAGTGAACTGTGAAATGTGCGCGGAGTAAACTAGCATTCCAACCGTTTGTCAGGCGTGGACCGATTCGAAATTTCCGCCCAAACTCATATAGCTTACGGGTAAGAGTGTGTTGATGTGTGATGAGTGTGACCGAAATTAATCGAAATATTTAAACGCTTCTGTGGGTCACGTGGTTCGTCCACACAAGTGTAGAATCTGTCCGCCCATTATGAGGTCATCTGTCCTTATGACAGTCAATCGAATCCTTTGCACGAAAACGCACCATTCGACTACATACACATGCGCAATAGCGGTAAAGCAAAACGACCCACTATTAAGAAGAAAACAGAGGCGGTTTGTGAACGGTTATGAGGACAGCCAAGTTTTGCTACATTGACTAAAGTTAGAACAAGACATTTGCACTATTCCTTTGTACTTTTATGGATGGAACGGAACATAGCGACTCTTTCCGGAATCGGAGTTTATTCAATTGTGCCTAGGTCAAATAGTGCACGACAGTTTCCTGTTGTGACCTTGTACCACAACTGGTCACTCATGAAATGTTTTACAAATCATGAAGTTAGTACCAAGGAAACTGCACCAAAGCCTGGCGGAAGCGCTTTGGTTCGTAATACTCAAAACATAACTGTTTGCTCAGATGAAATGACGTATCATGTTGACATTACTGAATCTTTTGAGATTGTTTATTAACCGTGTTGGTGGATTTTTTCGCCATTATATTAGTTTTCGAATCTAATCAAGGTTTCCAAGGAATGTAAAACGGTAGATCGGCTTGATGTGCTACCTGACAAACTGCTATTTGTATCCAGTTCGACAGCACCATCAATAGCAGCCAGTGAGCCTGGTGGGGTGAACAGTGTTCAGAGCTACATACTACCCGAACCGTTTACTGTTCGAGAGGTTTCGCCAAAGTACAAAATTGAAAAATCTTTTTCAGTTATAATGTAAAGACATGCTCTGGCAGTCGCCGTCAGATAATGCAAGCAACAGCGCCAATACATTGAATTACTTCCAAAGTTTATGTCGAAAACATATGGAGTGCAAGGTTGGTTTTCTCTACCACTGTGGATACTACTGATGAGGCATGCGAGTAGTCTGTGGTCGAAGCACCGCCCAGTGTCTAATGCAAGGTGAAGTTTATTACGGAACTTGTAGAACTGTTTGCAATGTTCGTCCACAGTAGTATAATAGTCAATGGATACACATGAACTGTCAAAAAGACGCGTGAGAATGTTCAGTGTGAAAAAACTATTTGCATATGAGACGTTTACTTTTGTCTTCTCGGAGGACTTGCCTCCCTTCATCGGTGCTAAGTCAGTTGAACCTGGACACGTGTCTACCAACCCAGCCACCAACTTCTTATATCGTGAGTGAAGGTTCCTAGTCCTGAGGGTTTAGGACTACCCGCGTCTGTTCATCCTTTAATGGGTGCTCGGAGTTCTCCGACTGACTTACACCTAAGGCAGTTTCTGGCATACTCACAAACGTGTCGCTGCAGACCGGAATTGCGTACTATGCCAGACTGGACACAAAGACAACTTCAAAGCCCACTGGAGACACTTCAGTCAAGAATGAGGGAAGCGCAATCGAATATGTGGTCACCAAATTTCGCTCCCTACTTCGGGATTCACATCATCCTCCGTTGAACAGTTTTCGTCCTCTCCTAACGCGAGTGTTCTGGCTGCTCGACACCGAAGCGTGAAGGTTCACACTTATCAGAGCTGGGTAGCAGTGCACATTCTTGGCTGTGACGGGGGTTGAACTCCAAACATCTGCCACGTTTGGCATCATCGTCATGGGCAGCATGACATCAGTGTTCAACACTGATGCTTCACTGCCGTACAACCATCATCAATTTGAAAGCCTCATGGAGAAGAAAAGAACAAAGGTGGATTAGGAGGTGACATAGTGCTCTAATCATTTGGAGATGCTTCCACCTCCGGAAAGAACCAGAACGCCATTGATATCGATTAGCAGCCATATTTTGCAGCGTCTCCAACCAGGCGCAGTGGGGATCACGCGGTGTGTTGTGTGAGTTACCCCTTCTGAACAAGCGCAACAAGCTTCAGTAATGCGACTGGTTTCCCCCAAACACCGACCAGTAATTGTCTCACTTTTGTTGATCGGCTGACCAGCATGTCGGGGTTTCCGAGTCAGACGCTTGGATCCTGCTGGACGAATTGTAATCCCGCGACTACTTACAATTAGCGAGTAGAGTAAACAAACAATCTACGACAGAAGCTGATATAACACATACTAAGTTTAGTTTACACGTCTGTGGTGGCTACAAAACGAATGGCACGTTCCCATTCTACCGGGGGGCAGCAAGGGGCAAGCAGTCTGGTCTTAACTGCACTTGAGACTCACCGAAAGTCGCTGTTCTGTTGGCAGTTCAAGGAAGGAAACACTGAACAGTAGTATCGCACAGTGAGTATTTATAAGATAATGGAAGACCATGCGATCGATCCAAACCCATTGAATTCTGGTTATTAGTCATGGCTCTTCGAGGGAAATTTGAACGGGGTTCAAAGCGCCTGGTGGTTGCATAACTGACTCAAATCCCCTCAGGATTCCTAAGAATCTCGAGACGAACTTCAAAGATCTAACCAGAATTCAGTTCGCTCTATCAACCAATCCAGAGGAAAACGGACAAGTGCGTACACTCGATAAAAAATTGATGGAAATGATCGAATGGAACAATCCAAGAATACAAAAGGTGAACGTGATTTAATGAAAGAACAACTAATTTATTTGCGAAGGCAGAAAATCTATAATCTGTAAAAATGTACCGAAGTCGCCTTAAAGACTTTGTGACTGCGGTACACACTCACTCGCCAATTAGGACGGTGGGAGGCACAGTTGAATCCCAGCTTGGTCTCTTGGTTATAATTTGCTAATAAACGGGAGGCTGAGCTGAGAATCAAGTTATTCCCACGTCAGCACCTTATTGAGTAGCAAACGAGTATATGATCCCATTTTCGTAATCTTTTGTGTGCAAGTACGACATGAGGTCGGTAGAAACTCGGGGACTACGCCCGCCTGAAGATCGCAAGAAGGATGAAACTGGTAGTGGGACAATGTGGAACAGTTTTCATCAACCTTGGGAATAGTGTTGTTTCAACAAAAAAGTTACAGGAGAAAGGAACACCCGCAAGTTCATCGTACTCATCAATTCACTATGCCCACTTTGCAGAGTTTCAGCTGAAAAGTGTGTTACCATGGTTTAAGAGCATGCAGCGTTCGCCAAATTGCTTCATCAGTGATGCCAGAGACAACTTTTTCTGAAGCTAAAGGGTCGTGTGTACAAGGCGACTGTAAGAGCGGCATTGCTATCTCATTGTGAGATTTGGTCTCCTCTAACCGCGGACCTTGGGCATTTCAGAGTGTTGGCCAAAGGTCTCTTCGTAGCATAGGAAGGATCGGCTCACTACAGCAGGCGCGAAACGAAGTGAAGAACCAGAAACAGCAGATTAAACATGTCAGTTTAAGATGGCTACGACGTGTACAGCGCATGGCAAACCAACGCCTGCCCAAGAAGGTGTCGTTTTCCGTTGTAAGCCATAATTGGCAAAACGTTTGTGGGGAACAAGCCGAGACATGACAACATGAAGTGAAAGCGGCTACAGTTATATTTCCCCTAAAATCGATGGCAAATGTGCAGTACTGATGTTTTACAGCCAATAATGATGACGTTCGTAATCACCGGTGTCCGATTTCGGAATTCGTATTCAGAAAGATCGTCATCAACAGTGCAGATGAGCTTACCCAGTTCGGCTTTTACTTATCGCTGACAGCTGATGACGTGACCCACTTATCCGAACGTCTGTTTGTTTGCAGGAAAAGGAAGTCAGTCTACCAGTGTAACGCTGATACTACTGATGGGGAGGCATGCGAGTAGTATGTTTACTTCTTGTAAATTCGCTTTGCGTCTCTTGAAAAGTGAATTCTGTTGCGGAATTTTTGGAGTCGCTTTGTAGCATTTGCTTGGATTTGAGCAACAGCCGATGAATATCCAGGAAAGTTCAGGAAGACACGTTCAAGAGAGGGTGGATGTTCATTTTTTGTAAATAAGATGCAAATGAGAGTTTTGCTTCCCTGTCCAAAAGCCTGTAACTGTTCCGTTGGCATTTTCTAATAAATAACTCCGCGGCGAAGGCCTTCTTCCTTTCACCAATATATGAAATTGAGGCACAACCCATGGTTTATCAATACATCTGCAGTGAGCGTTTCTTCCTTCAAGAACTAGTAAGCATAATTCAGAATTGGGATCGGATGTTCCGACCAGACTTGGGTAGCACTCAATCAGTGCGGATATTGTCCAAAGTGAAAGAAAACCATACAACTCGGTTGTCCACATCAATGTTTAGAGACATTGTCAGACATGGCCCAGTCGCGCCCTCATTGATCCAAGCTATTGCCCTCAATGCATAGCTCCTTTCCCAATCCCCCACTTGACAGCCTACTGACCATGCTGGATTTATGCACCAATTTGTCAGCTCCCGCCTGCAATGCGTAGCTACCTACCCCCCCCCCCTCCGCCCCAAATCACCAGTGAACGAAACTGCGGCAGCTACAACCACTGTACGACGAGTACGCGGTTCTTACAGCTGACAATTGTGATGATTAAAGATCGGTCTTAATCAGACAGAACAGTAGAAAGCTCCTTCGTGGTCACAGCTACTCTGGATTATGTTACATTTGATAGCAGTATGGAAGTTACATGGTTGAGTCGCCCATACTGTTCGCTACAAAGTCCGGATTTCAAACACTTTCCAGTGCTTCGTATCAGTGGTGTTCACTTCGTCCTTTCAGCGTTTGTTTAATGTTCCGAATCCAGCCTTTCATTACGGAATAAAAGCAATTTTGGTTGGGGCACCCCAGGTTCGACTCCGCCAGTGCCACCTGCAGAAGCTCTGTTTACTCTATCTGAAATTTTTTGGCCACCTTAGTTCAGAAAATTTCGTTTCATGCAGAGTTAGGGGTTTTGTTCGGGAAGCCAAGCCTTTCACTGGGGGTTCCGACAACCGACGACCTTATTTTTGTTCCATCGGCCTGACCTAACATGGAATACCGACAAAAAACAAGACTGTCATCACCCTTTTGCAGCTGTCAAAATTGACAATTGCGCTTCTGACCCCGTCAACTGGAGCGTAGCAACGTGGATTCGTGAGCGTATGAATTACCTCAGTTCGAGCCTGTCAGTTGCATCTAACCAGACCTCAAAACTCATGGGTCTGCCTCGAAATTCTTATGTCCGTCTGTGCTGCCATAACACACACGCCAGATAAAATGAGGAAGNTGCCGCTAACACACACGCCAGATAAAATGAGGAAGGATGGAGAAAAACAAGCGAAAACCAAGCGAGTGAGCCACCTTACTTGCTGTTGTGACATTGCCACCAGCCCTCGCCCCGTGACCAGTGTTTAGATTGAACGGGAGGTTAACTGTGCACCGTTTCAGTGCTGATTCTGGGTGTGTAAAGAGCTAGTTCACAGTTGGATACACCTCAAAGTTGGACAGATTTTAAGGTCGTTCATCGTTCCATTGTTTGAACAAGATGCCACTAGACACGTCCGTAACGGATGTGATCACTAGGTGTGATGAGAGGAAAGCGGAAATGATGCTCATTGTGCGGGAGAGTTGTACAAAATTTGGTCTGGTTATGGAGGGAAGAACTATGAACACTGCAAACTTTTACCGAATCCCCGGGAGTGCGATTATCAGGGGAGTGACAACTTCGGGGGGAAGGGTCGTCACAGGAGAAGAGCACTGTACGAACCAAGCAGGCTGTGTACCTGGTTCGCAGGCAGCACGTACAAACCAATCCTTATTAATTAAAACAAATGATTAAGATTCTGAACTCAATGCTGTATGGTGAAATATCACAGTAGTACTTTCACAGACTTTCACAAATTTCGTGGGTCTGAAATTCCGATCAGATGAGATACGAAGCGGGCAGGTTATCACTAATNGAAAAACAAGCGAAAACCAAGCGAGTGAGTCACTTTAGTTGCTGTTATGACATTGCCACCAGCCCCCTCCCTTGACCAGTGCTTGGTTTGGGCTGTAGTTCGGCTGCACACAGTTTCAGTGTTGATCCTGGGTGAGTAAAGAGCTAGTTCACAGTTGGATACACCACAAAGTCGAGTAGGTTTCAAGGTCGTTCATGGTTCGATTGTTTGTACGAGATGCCTTGTTGGCACGTCCGTAACGGATGTGATCACTAGATGTGATGAGAGGAAAGCGGAAATGATGCTCATTGTGCGGGAGAGTTGTACAAAATTTGGTCACTGGTAGAGCATGGAGGGAAGAACTATGGAACACTGCGAACTCTTACCGAATTTCTAAGTGCGATTATTAAGGGAGTGACAACTCCGGGGAGAAGGATTGTCACAAGGGAAGAACACTGTACGAACCAAGCAGGCTGTGTACCTGGTTCGCAGGCAGCACGTACAAACCAGTGTGTATCAATTAAGACGAATGATTAAGATTCCGAATTCAATGTTATCTGGTGAAACATCACAGACCTTCACAAGTACCGTGGCCATGTGGGTCCGAAATTCCGATCACATGAGATACGACGACGGACGCACCTGTGAACACAACATATTCGCATTTCGTAGGCGCACACAGTGTGTCGGAAAGAACTACTCAAGCGAAAATAATCATCATCATTATCGTCAACTGTAAGAACCGCGTACTTGTCGTTGTGGTTATAGCTGCTACAGCTTCGTTCACCGATGATTTGGGAAGGTGGGTTAGGTAGTCGCGCATTAGAGGCGGGAGCTGATAAATTAGTGCGTCAATACAACACTGTCAAGTGGGGGAATTGGGAAGGGAACTATGCAATGAAGGCAATAGGTTGGATGCATGAGGGCCATTGAGGGCGCGGCTGGGCTATGTCTGACAATGGCCGGTCTCGGGGTCCCCATCCAGGAAGACGGCAATGACCAGCGCAGCTCAGTTTGCTGGTAATGGCTTTTATACTTCGCCGCCAAGTCATTGTTTGACCGCCTCTGGCTCGCTTCCACCCTTCACGTGGTTGTACGAAAAGAACCCTTCGAGGATGTCAGTTCACCGGCATACGGAGCACGTGGCCAAGCCAGCGCA